CACCTATTTTGGTCATGTTGTAAGAAGGGACCATTCCCTGGAGAAGGATGTCATGCTTGGTAGGGTGGAGGGTCAACAAAAGAGGGGGAGGCCTTCAACGAGATGGATTGACACGGTGGCTGCAATGATGGGCTCAAGTATAGCAGGGATTGTGGGGCTGGCGCGGGATCGGGCATTGTTTCGTTCTGCTGTGCATGGGGCCGCTATGAGTCGGAAACGACTCCACGGCACTTAACAACAACACAACAACAACCTCTACTGAAGTAGATTGCCCAGTCTTCTTCCGAGGAGTGGCTGGTGGTTCCCAGCAGCCTTCTGGTTAGCAGTCAAATGCCTTAGACTATACGCCGCCAGAGCTCCCAGGGAAAGGAATAAAGTTTTTCCCCTTCTGTGTGCTTAGTCTTTTTGCTAACAGCAGGCCCTGCGTTGGGGCTCCTCAAGTCCTTTCAAGAGTCCTCTTAGTTTTCTAATACCAGCAGAGTCAAATTACCCAATAAGCAATATAAGCACGGACTTACCTGCGCTTATTTTCTAATTTGTAGTGAACAACCTCACAATGTGAACTTGTTCACTACAGGTTAGTAAGTAGGCACAAGTAAGCCTGTGCTTACCTTGCTTACTGGGTACTCTGTCTCTGGCAGGAATTGTAAATTTGAAAAGATGCTTTGATTTGCTAGCCATGTCTGGAAGCAGAATCTTTGATGTGGTTAAAAAAAAAAGTGAAATTGTTCACTACAGATTAGCAAGTAAGCACAAGTAAGCCTATGCTTACCTTACTATTGGGTAATCTGATACTGAGCGCCACTTTAACAGAGTTTTACAGCTCGCCAACCTTCTCCAGCTTGAAGTCTCAGCCCGCCATTGCCAAGCTGGGGGCGGCTACAGGCAAAGCCCAGTACAATCCCTGCGAACCCTCGGAATCTAGGACCCAGCAGCTGCCTGGCATGCCCTAGTCCCGCCTTTCCACGCACCAGCGGCCTCTGGTTGGCTCTGGACAGCGTGGTTCCGCCCCCGCCATGGCCGCTGCCTGCTGCTGGGGCTACTAGGTGTCTGCATGCTTTGGTGCTGGTTTCAGCCTGTGCTCTGAGGCTGATCGGTCATCCGGAGCGTGGCGCATGGGTCTCCTCAGAGGCGGGTCCCCATGCGTTCGAGCCATGGCGCGCCTGGGCGCTGTGCGCTCCCACTACTGCGCACTGCTTCTGGCTGCGGCGCTTGCTGTCTGTGCCTTCTACTATCTCGGCTCCGGCCGAGAGACTTTCTCCAGCGCCACCAAGAGGCTGAAGGAGGCCCGCGCTGGGGTCCCCGCCGGGCCCTCGCCGCTCGCGCCGGAGCTGGCACGGAGCTCCGTGGCGCCAGCCGCAGGCGCCAAGGCTAAGAGCCTGGAGGGCGGGGGCGCCGGGCCAGTAGACTACCACCTGCTGATGATGTTCACCAAGGCGGAACACAACGCCGCGCTGCAGGCCAAGGCCCGCGTCGCGCTGCGCTCGCTGCTGCGCCTCGCCAAGTTCGAGGCGCACGAGGTGCTTAACCTGCACTTCGTTAGCGAGGAGGCCAGCCGCGAGGTGGCCAAGAGCCTGCTGCGGGAGCTGCTGCCGCCCGCCGCTGGCTTCAAGTGCAAGGTGAGCGGGGCTGCAGCTGGGGACTCCCGGCTGATGGTCCACCTCTTCCACGGCGCGGTTAGTGTGCGTGCCCGGCAAGGCCTCCGAACACAGAGTTGGTCATCGTTGGGCTGCCCACTGCCAGCGCCTGTAGAAGTCTACCCTGGCACTGCCTGAAATGTGCATTCACGCTAGGGGCGTGCCTGCGGTAAGGTGCACTCAGCCGGTGCTGGAGTACAGCTGCCGTGTTACCTGATCGCCCCGCCTTCCTTTTCCCATCCCCATTAAGTGCGGGGGCCTGCCTCAGGAGAATTGGCACTCAGCTTTCTGCTAGTATTACAGGATTCAGCAGTGCCTCCAGAGCCTGCACCTTTTTCTTTTCATTCTCGTTTTTGACTTTTGAGGATGGAGCAGGTCATTTGCAAGCACCAGTAGTCATCCTGAGCAAAGTCTTCGGCATGGGCTTGGTGAGGCTGCTTGAAGTGTTGAAATTGCAGGGACATTTCTCATGCAGCTCTTCAGGTAGCTCAGTGGGATCTGTCAAGCCCAAACCCAGCCTGTGTGAACTATCTCATCCCCTCTTCTTCCTCCTTCGCCCTTGCACTGAAGGGTCATGAACCCATTTAGAGAAGCTGTAGGTTCCTCTAAGTACAAACATAATCTGGGAAGAGCTAAGCCAGCCACCTTCTCCCAGACTAGACCAACCTGTTTGGGGGGGGGGGCAGCTCCGTCTCTCCCCATCATCTCACGTCACCACCTGGCTCTGCTTGTCAGAGATTGGATTCCTGCCTTACTGTGAATTGCTTCAATCACATTGCTTGCCTCCTTTTGATCCCGTTGTTGCACAGAGGGTATCCAAGTTCTGGTTTTTGGATGGGAGTGATAATAGGTAATATTAAATGATGGAGACTGAAGTTGGGGGTGGGGAATGTGAGGCAAGAATAGTGTTCCATATGTTTGTGCCCAGTGAATGACTAAGGGGAGCTACTGCCAGGATCCTGTAGAATTCAGGGGTCTGCAGTAGCTCCTTGTTGCTTATAGAGTCAAGTCCCAATTTCTTGATAAGGCTGTGGGCCTTGCCCTCCTCACCAGCCTCATCTCTCATCTGTCCCCTACACACACCTTAAATCTTAACCATGCCGAATGTGCCTTTACACTGCTACGCTTTTTGCCCAGAATGTCCTGCCTTCCCTCTTGGGCCCTAGGATACTCTTTACTCAGCTTTCACCTCCCTTGAGAATGTCCCTGGTCCCTGTCTGTGCCTGTCCCTCCAAAGCTTTCCATTCCTGCTTCCTCTTTCCCCAGTGGAGGACAGTGAGCTCACCAGGAACACCCACTGTGGTCAGGGGAGGGCACTTGGGTATGAACTTGTTGCAGGAGACCAAGAATCCAGGTCCTGAAACTCCTGTCTCGAAGGGTCCATGGGAGCCATTGTCAGAGTAGGGTGGGGCCCACTTTATTTATCTATTTGAAGTCTCTGGAGGTAGGGCCTGGAACCTGTCCCAGGTAATCCTTGAGACCCCGATGTTTTAAAAACTCTGCACTAGTCCAAGAGAGAAAACTGAGGGCCTTTGATCTTCAAATACAACCCGTAAGGTCAGCATTGTCATCTCTTTGCCTTCTTAGAGGTAGCAGCTCATACCCAGTCTGCCCTCCCCTTATCGTGAGCTCCAGCTCTAGTTTATTGTTACATATCCAGTGCTTTCCAGCTTACATGCCTTTGCTTGTATTGTTCACTGTCAGGATACATTTCCAAGTCTTGCTCATCTTCAGATCCACCCCTTTCCTGGAGCTTTACGAGGAGCCCCTAGCTGAACAGTTGTGTGTCACCTCATTAGGATCCTGTCGTGACCCTACTGGGCACAGTAGAATGGCCCCAGAGGATTTCTAAAGCTATAATCTTTATGGAAAGGAGCTCTGGTGGTGTAGTGTTTAAGGCATTTGGCTGTTAACCAGAAGGTTGGTGGTTTGAAGTCACTAGCTGCTCTGTGGAAGAAAGATGAGGCATTCTGCTTCCATAAAGAATTATAGCCTTGGAAACCTATCAGAAGTTGCTGTGAGTCAAAAGAGACTCCATGGCAGTGAGTTTGGTTTTTATATTTTTTGGAATCTTTATGGGAGCAGATTTCTAGGTCTTTTCTTCCCTGGAACCTTTGGGTAGCAGCTGAGCACTTAACCATCATGCCACCAGGGCTCCTAGCTGAACAACATGTCTTCTTTATCCTGATTGTATCTTCCTCCCTTGGTGTTGTGACTGCATCCTGTCTTCTCACCCATCCCCTGTACAAGGCCTGGCACATAGCACTAGAAACATAAGCTCCAGGGGCAGGTCTGTGTTTCATGCTCTGCTGGGCCCTGTTCTGGGAGGCACAGCATCACCCAAAGCCTCTAAACAGCTGCAAATGACCTAGGAGAATTGACACTGCCCTGTTGGCAGTCAGTAGTCAGATAGGCTAAGACACTTGCCTGCTAACCAGACGGCTGGCAGTTCAAACCCACCAGCCACTCCTCGGAAGGAAGGTTGGGCAATCCTACTTCCGTAGTGATACTGCCTCGGAAACCCAAGGAGGGGTTGCTATGAGTCGGGTCCGACTCGACGGCACATAACAACAACAACAACAACAACAACAGTCAGATAAGGGTTTATGAGTCCTGGCCTGAAATTGTTCCCATTAACTTTGAGTTCTTATTTTGTGAATCTGTTTTTTTTGCTTGTCATAAAAGGTGCTCCTTTTTCATTAAACGTGTAGTTCTAAAAGATTCGACCCATAGCGACCCCTTCTTGGGTTTCCCAGGCAGTATCTCTATGGAGGTAGATTGCCCAATCTTCCTTCCAAGGAGTGGCTGGTGGGTTTGAACCACCAGCCTTCTGGTTAGCAGTCATATGCCTAAGGCACTGCACTGCCAGAGCTCCCTCTAAAAGATTAGCTTCATTTTATTTGTGATTTAATTCTTCCTCAGGTTTGGAGTTTTCCTGAAAACTGCTTCTCCAGGCATCACTTCACATGTCTTTTCCTCCGCTTAGAGTACTTCCCTCTCCCGAAATCCTTAACTAGGACTCTGCGTTCAGGCCTCCACTTAAATGCTGTTTCCTTGGGAAACCTTTCCTGAGCCTCCACTCACACGATACCAAGCACTTTTCATTAGTGCCATTTATTATAAACCCACTGCCATCGAGCTGATTCTGACTCATAGCCACCCTGATAGGATTTCCAAGGCTGTAAATCTTTTACAGAAGCAGACTGCCTCATCTTTCTCCCACATTACAGCTGGTGGGTTCGAACCTCTGACTTGTTGGTTAGTAGCCAGATGCCTTAGCCACAGCGTCACTAGAGCTCCCTGTAATTTATCATGGTTATGTTTGTTTCATGGTTGAATTAATTATTTGTCTATCCAGCTAGAATATAAACTCCATAAAGACATGGACCCTGACTGTAAATGCTGCATCCCTAGCATCTAATATCATGTTTTTCATATAGGAGTACATTTTATACTGAGAATTATACATTTTATACTAGAATTTTCATCCTAATCACTTCAGAGCTAGAAGAGATCTCTGAGGACCTGTAACAAAAGAGGTGAGGGAACTTGCCCAAGGCCACCGAGGAAGTTACTGATCCGGCTGAGGCTAAACCTTGTATCCTAGACAATGTTTGTTTTCCTTTGTACCCTGTTTCCACTTTAAGGAACGCTCCCCTCTTATAAGGTACAGAGGACAATTTACTCCCAGGGAGAGTTGACTTGACTCCTCGGAAGAGGAAGGCAGCTCCTTGCCCTCTCAGCTGGCTGGAAAACTGGCTCAGCCTGGGGCTTCTCCACTCTCAGGATGGCTCCGAGACTACATTTGTCTGCAAGATGCAGAGTAGGGTGATAGTGAGCTGGCTTAGAACTTGTGTCCTCACCCAGAAGATTCTTCTTAAGCCATTTTCATGTGACACTGAAACACATTTTAACTGAAATGTTTGCCAAGGTAGATCACAGAACACTATGAGTGACTCATTGTGGTTAATTAAATATTAATTAAATAATTATTAAATATTAGGTAGAATATCGTTCACGTAAAGCAGAAAAATCTTATTTCAACTATTAGTGAAAAACTTTCAAAATGTCTTACTTAGTCTGCTATCTTCAAAGAGTATATTAATTTTCACTTATTTAACAAACATCCTAACCAGCTATGAAGGAGCCCTGGTGGCACAGTGGTTAAGATGTTCAATTGCTAACTGAAAGGTTGGTGATTCAAATCCACCAGCTGCTCCATGGGAGAAAGATGAGGCAGTCTGCTTCTGTAAAGGTTACAGCCTTGGAAAATCTATGGGGCAGTTCTACTCTCTTGTACAGGGTTGCAGTGAACAGCAGTGGACTTGACAGCAGTGGGTTTGGTTTTTTTGTTTTAACCTGCTGCATTCTAGGTGCCACACTCAGAGCTGCTTCTAGACTATATCATTGGTCCATGGACTAGCTGTATCAGAATCACCAGGGACACATAAACAATTCCACACTGTGGGTCAGGATCTCCTGGATGTGGCCTGGGACTCTGTATTTGTACTTGAGCTATGTAGCCAGGCTTGGGCTCTGGTGCTATAGGGGTACAGGAGTGTCTGGGGCTCTTCTACCAATCTTTTTTGACCTAGCTCAGTTGTCCCTTCCTCTGTGCAGCCTTTGCTTGGGGAGCATAATGCCTGGCATATATTCTTTACTCAGGAAACACAGACATCCAGGAAACATTTGAGTAGCTCTCTTTCACCTCGTCTGTCAGTTTGTCATACTTTGGTGGCTTACGTGTTGCTGTGGTGCTGGAAGCTATGCCATTAATATTTCAAATATTAGCAGGGTCTCACATGGTGGACAGGTTTCAGTGGAGCTTCCAGATTAAGACAGACCAGGAAGAAGGACGTGGTGATCCACTTCTGAAAAAATTGGCCACTGACAACCTTATGAATAGCAGTGAAGCATTGTCTCATAGCGTGCTGGAAGATGAGCCTCTCGGGTTGGAAGGCACTCAGAATATGACCGAGAAA